CCACAGAAGCTAATTTAAGTATAAAGGCAAATTCAGGCCAATAATATCATACCACATTTCAGCAAATATAAGTATATAGGAGGTCCCACATTAGGGTTAAGTACAGGCTCAGACTTTCTTCCCTCCTACACTCTGGAACACTGCCTGTCCTAATGTGAGGCTCATGCACACTGACTCACAGTTAAGATGGCTTCATGTCAAGAACTGTGACCGCTCTAGGAGAGCCCCACCTTATATAACCATGTTATTTCATAATTATGTATTTCAAGGGGATTATGACTTTCTTCAAAACCAGCAGCACTGGTCACTATGGTATATTTTGAAGTGAACCATACATATCAGCACATAATATAATTTCTTTGGCGTGGTACATCTATAACACTTCCTTTGTTCTTATAATACTGTTTTCTCGCTTGGGCCCTAGAATACCCGAGACAGGAAGAAAAGCTGTTTCATGTATTTTCAGATGTGAATAGATCAATAAATGCACCAAAATGCATTTATTGTCACATACTGAACCTTGCATTATACACACAATACGAAGATAGAATTTACTGCTATCATACAGTTTAATCTCTTTCCGTAGCAGAGCAAAGTCCAATTACTTTGTTATCAGCTATGCAACACTGTTAAAGTATTCTGAAAAGAACACCTACATCTGCTAAATGGTAACTTGATTTAAAAGTATACCTTGATACTTATTTTTTTAACTTTGATATTTTGTTCCTCCTGCATCCAAGACCGCTACTTAGTACAGATAAGAAAGCTCTCTTTTTTAAGGACTCTTTGAATATTTAGAGAATGTAGTTAGAAGGAAAAGTAACCCAGGAATAGGAATTGTTTCAAAATAAAATCAAGCTCAGAACCAATTTTCCACTGTTTTTCTTTTCTTTTTTTTTTTTTCTTTTCTTCCTGAAGAGTAGGATCACCCTTCAGAAGGGTAAACTTCAATAAAGAACTAAGCTCTAAGGATAAGTGCACAGCTCTTGTGTTATTAGTTGTTTCATTCAAAGTAAATAAGTAAATAAAATCAATCCAACACCTGAAGAGATACAATTTAGTAACATTTCTATGTCTATTACAATTGTTCTTGTACTTTTGCTTCTTACACATTGTCTCTTAATTAATTTAATTTTCTTCCCTGTGTATTATATTACCAACCCAGGCACAGGGGCCTCTTTTGACAATAAGGCTGCAGGGCACCCATGTCTCTTCTCCTGTGAGTCTGTTATTCCATGACTAGCTGGTGTCTATATGTAATGGTAAACACAACATCTTGTGACTTCATCCTACAGCTATGGGCCAGATCCTTTCTCAGTTAAAGAATATATTTTAGTCAGGAATATCCAACAAAGCTAGGGAACCACAGTGGTGAAATCTGTGAATTTCTTCTGATACAATATGCCAGAACAGATTTTCATTGTGTCTTTTTTGTGTGTGTGCATGTATTTTTTTTTTTTTTTTCTGCTCAGGATTTTGTAGTAGAAGCTGAAAGATCAAACTATAGTTACACTGTTAAAGTTAACACTGCTGGAGAATGGACTAATATGGTCCTTATCAAGTTTGCTTATTCCTACACTTTCAGCCTCCTCTCCTCATAGCTGGTGTGCTACATATTAAACTGTCCCAGAGAACTAATCCAAGTTGAATTTAACTTCACAAAAAAAACAGCTTAAAGTGATTGTAAAACCTCAGCACTAACTAGATGACAAAAATTCTGTTTAAATAACCTTTGTACTAGATTTTTTATCATACTGTATTGAAAGGACTTCCTCCTTCATGTATATTTATTACACTAGCTTAATTTCTGTATATTCCATACTATATATTAATATAGGGAACCATGTATTTTCAGAAAATATATGCTCACTTTTCTGTAGTATAACTCATGTTCTCTACTTCTCTACACTCCAGCTTTCTGGTTGTGTTTTACTCATTTCAGCAGCATTTACTTGTACTTTAGCTTTCATAAAGTTTCAGAAATAACACAGGTCATTTTCTGCACTGACCAGGGGAAACTGGTCTTGGCCATGCAGCCCTATGGATGCACACAGGGCCCTGAAAGCCTCTAGTACAATTGGATCTCTTTGGGCAAGAGCTTGTGTCAAGTTAAAAATGTGTAATTGTTCCCAAAGGCTTTATAGTTATATGGCATGTAACATAAACTTAACCCTTAAATCATAAAACTATCCACTAAATAGCATCAAAGATTATGAAATTCCACTTACATAATTTATCCTCATTATTCAAGTAAGGAAAAACAGTGAATTAGTAGCAAAATACCACAAATAACAGGCTTTCATAGTCCAGCACTGGGCTGAAATTAAAATGACCTATTTGTGTTCAACTAAAACGATGTTTTTGCTGTACAAATAGCCAAATTTAAAGACTTCCAAATGTTGATCACCAGACAACCTAAATATACATTTTCTATACTACTGCTGAGGAGTAAAAAATCTGAGTCAAGTGTAATTTCAGTGGCCATTACTGCCTTAATTTTTTGTCATGAAATCTGATATATAATCATGTTTAAAATTCAAATGTCTCCCAATAGTAGTGCTTCTGCAGTAACTGTTTCAGTAAGAATGTAGCTTACCTAATCGCCTCTACAATAAATTCTTATACAGACCACTCATTTTCACAAAAGCTTTGGTTTTTGTATGTTTCACTCATGTTTACAGAGAAGACCAATATAATTTTTTTATGGCTAAAGTTTGAAATTTTTTCCAACTACCCATTAAAAAACGATAATAGTTTCTTTTCTCCTACTGAATATGTTTTGGGTAAATGTATTTTACAAACTAATGTCTTCTTTTGACTATGAATAAACAATTTATACAGATAGCATCTATCAACTGAAGCAGGAGTTAGATAAATATTTTACAAAACCAGAACAGTTTGCTTATGGCAAAGAACATACATACAGATCAGTTCTTGTCATAGCTTCTAAAACTGTGTTTAACAGTGTGTTGTAGGACCTTCTTGTAAGCTCTATAAAATTCAATTAATAGCTTAATCTGATATTAGGTTAATTTATTATCTATTTCACACACAAAGGTTATTTTAAAAATAAGACCTTTTTAAAAATAAGATCTTTTTAAAAATCAGACCTTTATTTAAACTGAAGTCTTGTTTCAAAACTCACATCTGCACATCACTAATTGATTTAGTCTGAGGTAATCTAAGAAAATACATACACTGGAAAAGAACCAGAGCTGATGAATCCAGTTACACTAGGGGAACAACATGGATTCACACCTAGAAACTGTCTATGCAGTACTATACACTAAATACGTAATAATGCATTTTTGCCCATCTGGTTTGGGGCTTTTTGTTGGGTTTGTTTTGGTTTTGTTTTTTTTTCACTTACACAACCCAAAAATTTTGGGTAGGAAGATGACATTTTTCACTTCCCGTACATGAAAGTATATGTTCTTTTCAGAGTTCCCTTTTACTAGGAATAATTCAAGAAAATGTTGAGATGCTGGGTGATAAGAAATGATAAATAGGTTAATGATTCATATAACTTCTTGTGTTAGCTGTGCAGTACACTTTCAGTGTGATCAAGCAAACTATAATGAGTCAAAAGGAACATTCCTTTTGAGTTTAATAATTACAACTGGTTTCAGCTCATACATTTGATTAAAGACACTTTATATCTTTCATTGTTACTTTAACATTTATGCAGTTCTTTACATCTTCAAAGCACTCTGCTGAAATTACCTGATTAGTTCTTGCAATGCTTAGATGCAATTTTCAGTGTGCTTTTATATCACAGTCTCATTTTAATTGCTATTTAAGGCTGCATTAATTATATTTTTAATGGGCCATAAAAAGGAATATTTAGCAGGAAAGCCACTGTACCAACAATTTGTGTAGTACATTTCTTAAACTATAAAATATTCAAATTTAGCACAGTACTGAACTCTGCTAACGAGCGTTTTGGGCCTGTCCTCCCCTAGTACGGCACAGTACAACCTACCATCTGTAAGACAATGTCAGTGCTGTTCCTCCACTTGTTTTCAGTGCTGTCCTGGCGAGACTTCTTTTCCTGAATTTGCTCGGTGAAAAGGTAATCATTGCAAATACTGTCATTGAAATATCAGTGCTCATATTTCATCCACAGAAGACAATGAACATCACAGGAGGCCTGTCCAGGCACTGGCCCTGCTTCCTCCCAGGTTGCCACCAGGAGCAGATGGCTGTGAGTGCTGCCTGCTTTCATAGGGGTACTCTTGAGGACAGTACTTTTGCCCCATGAACCCCATGTAGTCAATTCTTGATGCCACAGTTAGGTTTAGTGAGCTTATATTTTTCTCATAAGTTCACTTCTCAACTTCCAATGTGTCAAACAATTTCTGTCATTAGTTATTTGAACGTTTTTTACTGTTTTTTCTATATGTTTCTTCCTCTATTATATAAACACACACCAGAAAACACTGCAAGTTTCTTTCAGTGTCTCTTGCTAATAAATACTACTGCTAATCACAAAATCAGATTTGTAGGTTCTTATATTGCTGAAACTTATGTATAATTCAAACACATCATCCAGACTGCACCGCAGCTTGGACCTGTCCTAACCACTTGATGCCTCTGAACAACAAAAGGAAATATGGCTGTCAGAAAGTGGTGTTAAGTGACCTAAAGAAACAATATACACTTGCAATGAAAACAATTCCTTGCTGGTAGTGACTATATAATTCTGAATTACAAAACCTCCCTTAAAGGTGCATGGTGTACATTGGCTTCTCTTGGCAAAACTTGCCCATAGTTACAGGAGAGCCACTCCTTTCTGTCACCTAGTAACTATTTAATAGTCAACATCAACTCAGAGTTTCTGAGCGCTTTGATTTGTCAATGCGTGTGGAATACGGTACTTCTTAAAATGTTGTTTAGGGTACAAACACTAGACTGTGCAGTAGTCTGAACCAAGGACACCTTGTGGTGGGTGTTTGAGCAGAAAAAGAAAAAAAATTGTAGTAGTATATTTGGAACTTATAATGGAAATGGCTGAAGGTAAGATCATACCTGTAGGCAAATCAGACCAAGTCCTGGAAAAAATCTGGCACCTAAACTTGCTAGGAAGAGATGTGCTTCTGAAAAGTGATCTGGATAATGAAGGTATAGTGGAGTATATGCTTAGATTGATATCTTTAACAAAAGAGCTGAACAAATATCTCAGCCAGCAGCTGGAGAATGTTACAGAAAGTATTCAAGACACCTGCCAATTGCTGAGTGCTCTCTATGACAAACACAAGGAATTGACTGCAAGTCCAGGTAAGTATGGAGAGACTTACCTGTAAAACAGAATGGACGGGGTATATTGGACACTATGTTCTGCTGTATGGTGATGCTGGGGAACCTTACTTTTCATTTGTTAGTATTTCAGTACGTGGTCATTCATTAACTAAATTAATTCATATTTCAGCAGTTACATCACACTGGTTTTAAGTCCATCAACTGCTTGAAATTCGATATACGACTCATAACTCTCGAGTGAGAAAAAAGATATAAATAAAATTAACTAAACAGAATTGTTTCTATGGTTTGTGTAGATTACACTTTGGTGGGTTTATTTTGGCCAGACACCAGTTGCCACCCAGCAACTTACTGCTCCTCCTCAACAGAACAGGGTGGAGAATAAGATGGAAAAGCTCACGGGTCGATCTAAAGAAAGGGAAATCACTTGCTGTTTACTGTCAGAGACAAAAAGGAAATAACTTAGGGATAAAAAAAAAAAAAAAAAATCCAATTGGATAGTGAGAAACAAAGGCAAAAACTTAAAACACCTTTCCCCATCCTTCCTTTTTTCCACACTCACCTTCACTCCTTCATTCCCAGCTCTTCCACCTCCTCCCTGTCCCAAGGAGTGCAGGGGGATGGGAAAGTGAGGTAACACTCAGTCCATAACAGTTCTCCTCTGTCACTCCTCCTTCCTTGCACTTTTCCATGTTTTACTGCGGGTCTTGCCCACAGCTCCTGCCAGGAAAAGCTGGGCTCTCCACTGTCTGCAGTTCCTTCAGGGAATATCTACCTGCTCCAGTGTGGGGTCCTCCACAGGCTGCAGAGTGGATATTTGCTCCAGCCTGGTTTCCCATAGTCTGCAAGAGAATCTCTGCTCCATGCCTGGAAGACCTCCCCTTCCTTCTTCTCCAGACTTAGTGTTTCCAGAGCTCTTTCTCACACTTTTTTCCCCACTGTTCTCTGGTGTTCTTATCCTTTCTTAAATATCTATTCACAAAGACAGCACCAGCTTTGCTGACAGTATCAGCTCAGTCTTGCAGTAGGTCCACTGTGGAGCTGGCTGGCACCAGCTATGTCTGTTACAGGGGTGTCCCAGCCTCTCCTCACAGAGGCCAAACCCCACAGCCCCTAGATGCCAGCATCTCTCCAAGCAAATATATAGTCTTTGTGTATATAGTCTGTACATATGTAGAAGTCTATATCTGCATAGTCTACAGTCTTCTGCAAAGAACAACATAGTTTAAAAGATGTCAGTAAAAATAAAGATTTCTGCCATCTTAGTGCACAGGTAAACACAAGGAATTCAATTTTTTACATTTATAAAAATGATGTAGATATAACAGTGTTATTTATTGTGAGAATCAAACCCAGATTTTAGTTTTGAAAAAAAAGTGAGATCGTTTTGTGACAAAGCAAACAACTCTCTTTCCTCAGAAACAACATCTTAATAAACACTCGTAGAAGTAGAAGAGAAAGCTAACATGTCTGAATTTAACGGTCTAACAGCATGGTGCATAAATAGAGAGACTCCAGGCAGAAATCTTTACCTATGCCCATGTTTAGGAATTTTTGTTCTACAGGTTTACAAAGTATCTGAAATAATAAAAGAATATTTTTGTAAAAATCTCCAAGATCAAGCTCACTTTACCCTGTTGGCCACATGGCTTAGGTGATACATCCCTCACTGACCCTCCTGATTTTGAACAATTCACTATCATTCTCCTTCCAAAAAGCTACTCTTCCTCATCTGACACTTTCCCATAAAACAGTCAGCA